CCGCTGTCGTAACAATATATATATATATATTAGTTTTCTTGAAGTGTAGTTAGGAATTGACACGAACGGAATAACTTTTTGTAGAATGTGTATAATTTTCTAGTTTTGGAGTGGGCTATTTTGCGTGTTTATCCGATGTGGGAGATTGTCTGACGTTTAGTCGTCAGCATTGAAATTTACAGCACACCAAACGAATGTATTCTGTACCCAGTACCCTTAATTTCTTTCACTCTGCCTTATTGCAGCAAGTATCCATAATAATAACCTATTATTAAATTAAATGCAGAAGCTTACAATTGCTTAGCATTAGTGTTTTTCTTATTTTAATATTTTATTTATTCCATTGTCAGTTTATTTTGTACCTTTTAAATAACATTAAATTTATGAGAATTTGCATTTTAAACTAGATTACATCATGTAAAGTTTTGATTAGTACTGTTTTTCCGTTAAACTTTGCTATACTTTGTACTTTTTTCTCTCTTAAATTTGATGTATGAAACTGACATAATTATTATACAGTTGGTCCCTTTCCTGAAACCAAGGTCACTTGCACTAAGCTACCCCTTGTAAAAATCCAGGAGCTGGTTAGAAATAAGGAACTATGGGAAACTTTTTTCACTTTGTGAATTTATCATATTTTTTATTAGAAGTTTAAATAATTGTAATAATGTATCCTAAAATTGCTTGAAAGTTGCTGAAATTGACATGTATATAAGTTTTAAAAATAACTATAGCATTTTAAATATTTTTTACATTGTGTTTATCATCCGGGCAGTCGCATGCTTTTTCCAGGCGTATGGGTATGATTCAACATGGCGGCACCCATACTGAAGTGGAAGCGGGTGACAAATACTACAGGTCCTGCTCCAAGACCTCGTCATGGTCATAGAGCAGTTTCTATCAAAGATCTGATGATCGTCTTTGGTGGCGGCAACGAAGGAATTGTGGACGAACTTCATGTTTATAATACAAGTAAGTTTGAGTTTTTGTTAGGCCTAAATGTTAGGGTATTTGTAGACCGAAAACTAAAATGGCGGCTTATCTACTACTGTATTGTCATTGGTAACTGAGTTCTATAAGATGCGAAGTGACGTTGTTCTTTTAAAATATATTAATATTTGTTTTGAGCCGACATTTGACATTTAAAAAACACAATAATTCCTTTGATGGTTTGAAAATCATTGTTCAAATCGTTTTAAAAATTTGATAAAATTATCTTAGGAGTCACTGTTTTCAATATGGCGGCCCCCTAAGTTTCTGCCGTACTGTTATCACCATTAGGCTTAATAACGTTAAGGAATAAGAACGGTAGACTTGTTGCGTCGTACAAATAACATGGTAACCAACGTATGTTTCTATTGTTTCTTGGCTGTAATAGAAAATTGGCACTTGTTAACAACGATCTAGAATTATCGCAATGAAGTATTTTTACATTTATTCGTAATGGAACACTTGACAAATCGATGATCATGTTTCATACAGTTTACAAATTATAAACATAGACTTTAGGGAAAACAACAAAAAATCGAAACATAAGTAAGCTTAACAATAACAGAAAAGGTGTTTTGACTATAGGTATGGTTTAAGGATTACCCGCCTTTCACAATTTTAACGTAGTCTATTACTGTACATAAAGTCATATTACTATTAGTTTAGTATTAGTATTACATGTATCATTATGGCTAAACTTGATTTTTTGTCCATTCCATTAATCCCAATGTGATAACTTTTATCTAAAAATTGATTATTGATGATATTATTATTAGTTGTTTTGTGTACATCATTAAAAATGGTTTTTAGCCTCTTAAAAAGTCAAAATTAAATGTGGAAAATGTTTAAAATTATAATTCAAAATAACTCGTTTTCTAATGAATTAAGAGGTTATTATCATAATAATTAATATTAGTGAAAAAATGTGTGCATATTAATATATATATATATATATATAAACTAACAATATCATTTAAAATCTTATCACATTACTGTAACTGTATTGAGAGCCATACGAATTAAAAGACTACTTTCTGAACAAAGGTGAAATGATCATGAATGCTTGGCCTAATTCACATATAGAAGAATACTTCTTCCCATCTCATAAAACTCAACAAACATAGTAGGCTCAAATTGAGATTAATTTTTGAAGTGAGTGGATTGTGTAATTAACTCAAAGTTTCTATTTTGCATTGAACTACTTGTAGAATAAAACCATAAGGAGATTTTCTAAAGTAGAGCTTGAATGCCTACCAGGCATTATGATTAGCTCTTTCCAGTCATTTTAGAATAAGCCAAGTTCAGGAGTAGTGTAAGGAAAAAAGCATAAACTTGCAGATCATGCTGAGGATGTTCAGTATAGCATTAGTTTGTTTTACACACAATTTGCCCTAGACCATTGGTTCACTATAACTTGTTGAGTAGCTCTTTTGAGTTCTTCATTTTGCCAGGTGAGGTTTGTTGTCATATCATATACTATTGGCATTTCAAAACTATGAATGAGTAGTATGAAAATGTTACTTTATAAGGTTTGAAAGTCTTTAGTCATCTGAAGTTGGTTGAAGGCATATGAGAGATGTGATATTGTAGATGTTTGAAAATATATGTAGATTTTTGGTTGAGGTTGGTGGCATACAAAAATAGGAAAATATGATTATTTGGCATTTTCAGTAAATCTTCATATCAGGTCACTTACAATGATAACAAAGTATAAATGTACAAGATCATTAATTTGCCAGTGGAAATGACTTATTACTATTGGATGCTTTTATCTTAGGGAAATTTAATGGGTCTTTGTTCTTTAGTAAGGTTAAAGAACTTCTTGAAATTGCAGGAGATTGTTATTCAGCATGCCAAAAACCCCGGCAGAAAATTTATATTTTAACCTTTGTTTTTGGTACTGAGAAAGATGTAGTAAGAAGTACAGTACAAGAACTGCATGATCTCTAGCAATTATAGTATCATTATATTTCTATTGAAACCAGTTGTAGAGTTAAGAAAAGCTCTTTCCTTTTCATGGTGTTAAGAAAGCTGACTTCTAAACATTAGAAGAAATTTACATTACATATGGACAACAAAGAGCCTTTTGGTCTATTTGGTATCCATGCACACCCACCCGTGAGAAAAATATAAACCCATGCTTCATTATTGTTCAGGAATTCAATTCCAATAAGTCAGTATCCTTCATTGGATAAGAAAATCAAAACTGTACACAGTGTTTCAAGTGAGACTAAACTAGTTATTTATAAAGATGAATACTTCTATGAGAGAAAGATTGGGTGCAGACCTTAAAAGGGAAATTCTTAATAGATTAGTGAAATTATTGAAAAGAAGTACATTTCTTACAAAATTTGGCATTACAAACAAAAACTTATAGAATGGTGGAGTTAAATTATGAATAAATTATAAATGCCAATGTATGAGATTTGTCTTGTGAAGTAGAGGATGCATTGGTTTATCAGAAAAAAAAAGTAGCATGACTATTTCAGAAATGTTTTCTCAGTTCTGCACAATAAAGAGCTATTACTCTATGCTGCTGCTGTTCTGTGCTAGCCTATGATAGTCATTATTACACTATAGCCTTCCACCAAAATGAAGGTGGTATGTTGGCCATGCATGTAAGCTTCATGAATACTAGCATTTCAACAAACATTATTCTTTTTTCAGCACTGCTTTATTCAGACATTTTTTCTTGGGTATTAACAGAATTTTTGTGTTTATTATTTTAAGCTTTCATTATCATTTGTGGTGTAGTTTTGCTTCCTTAGTTTTATTGATTATAAGAAAGAAATATATGAAATTTTAAATATTTCAGTTACAACATTGATTTGAATTATTTTCAGCTTGATTTTTTTCTTTTAATCAAATTTCTAATTTTGGGACACATCCTAGCCCTTTGAACAATTGACAAACCAGGCCTATTTTTATTTCTAAAAAAAAGTTGTTTCATGGATCAGATGAATCATGAATTAATGTTTCCACATTTCTGACATCTTCCGAGGTTCTGACACTACTGAACAGGAGTCATTTAACACTGTCATGGTGACTGAAGGCACCTTAACATTGGCGATGTTATTGCAGTTGAACACCAGGTGGTTGGTTCCATTTTCATATTGGATCCAGGGTTCCTGATCTCCTCCTCCTTCTGTAACTTCAGCTGGGCCTGCTCCACCTTTTGAAGAGTTTCATCACTATTGTTTCCATGACTGCTTTTGCTTCTAGTTACCTCTTCCTGAAGAGAATCAGGTAATCCCACCTTCATAGTTTACTGCCTGGATCACCCAGGTATGTGTCTTTTGTTTTCTTTTTCTCCATTTGTTTTTTACTGAATCTTTGGCTTTATTTTTGTGTGATTCTGCCACCACCAACAACAACAAGGGGAAAAGAAGACAGTTAATCTTTGGATATACTTATATTGATTGGCCAGAATCAACTGAATGGTATGGCTTAGAATAAAAGGAACTCAAGACAAGAGTGTCTTTAAAAAGAGAGAAATTGTGTACTGCAAGAACTAAGGAGCCATGAGTGCCTTGGTATCAGAAGTTTCATATCATAAAAACTTTAAAGAGTAGGCTGAACCTGTACCACATACAAATTGAGAAAGACCCACCAAGTGAATAAGATATAGGGTGAGGGTCAGGATTGAACAGGAGAACCAATAAGCCACTCCAAACAAAGCAACTTCTGAAAGAAAATGGAAATTCCAAAGAGAAAGCAACATTGGATAAGACAAGTAGACACCAACATCCATATAATAGCAGAATAGCAGGCCTCAGAAAAGTAACTTCTAAGAAAAAGCCCACCAGACCCAATGGTAAACACATGGGGTTATAGCCAACTCAAACAAAAGCTCTTTGGAAGAAGATCAACAAGGACAAGGTGAAAAATAGGAATGTGCAAGAGTTTCCATAGCAAAGCTGACAAGGAGTTGATGTTAAGCCTCCAAAAAAAGGAGAAGCATGGAAATATAGCAAAGAAGTTGAGTGAGTGAGAAAAAACAAGGAGGTGGAGGGTAAGAGAAAAAGAAATAAAACAAGGAAATCTTCAAGTTGAAAGAAGATACTCAAGTGATGGTCACTCAATTCTATACAACCCTGGACCTTCCTTTACCCCACCTCACTTGGACTTGCATCTGTTTGGAGTCTTCCAGTGCTTATAACACGTACATAGGTTTTCCATACTTTTGGTGAGCACAGTAGAGGTGAGACATTGTATTGCTTTGATCTTGATGACAGCCAAATCTACAAACAGTAACCTGTCAACTAATATCTCTGTTTAGGTGGGGTGCAATTTTGGACATCTGATTCATTTCTACAGTCTGGTCTCTAGAAGAGCAGTTTCTTTATATTTTCATTCCGGAGATGGCTGCTCAGCAGCCTTGCTGTCATCATCCATTTTATCTTTTTATGATACATTCAGACTTTTTGTTGCTTCTTCCATTCACCAGTAGGTAGATATTCAGTCTCAGGATTTCTGTTTTCCTTGTGCTAGACTTTCTCTTTTGAGTCAATGACCACCAAGTTTGATTGTTGGTCTATCATGTCTTAGGAGTTTAGGCCCAAGTTGCAGCTTACTTAAACCAAATCCATCTTACAGAATGGTTTTTCCATCTCCTGGTGATTTCATTGGATGTGCTCCAATTAGGAGAGTCCTAATGTAGTTGGCTTATTGCTTCCCCTCAGTACCTACCTCCAAATCTTTTGGTTTCCAATCCCAGATTCTATGACTTTGGCAGAGGAAGCTCTGTGTCTTGAGTGGTTCAATCTTTTTATATGCCTCAGACATATTTTTGTCTCCTTCTTGCTTATGGGAACAGTTGCTCTCACTTTTTGCCTTTGATGCCTCTTACACTAATTACCAGAAAGACGGGTTACTCTTCTTCTCTAATTGCTCCAGGAGGGTAGTAGGATATTTAAATGTTTTCTCTACTTAACACCCTTTTTCCTGTGTAATCTTTCTGACCAAGATAATTTCCTTTGTAT